GCGGTGAAGTTCAGGTGGCCATCGGGAAGGCGAAAGCCTCCAAAGCCATGGGTCCCGACGGTATATGCATGCTGATGCTGAAAAATTTGGGTCCTGCGGGGGTAGCGTACCTAACGGAGGTCCTCAATTTGTCAATGGCCACTCTCATCATCCCAGACATCTGGAAGGTGGGGAGAGTGGTCCCACTGCTCAAACCGGGGAAACCTGCAAACAAAGGAGATTCGTATCGTCCGATTACACTCCTTTCCCCGGTAGCGAAGACACTCGAGGCCTTGCTACTCCCGTACTTCACAAATCACCTGACCCCAGCGAAGCATCAGCATGGTTTCCGTAAAGTGCACAGCACAACAACAGCACTTAACGCCATAAACACTCAGATAACTCGTGGCCTTAACCGTAACCGTCCCTGTGAGAGAACGATTCTAGTAGCGTTGGACTTGTCAAAGGCGTTTGACACCGTCTGCCATTCCACGCTACTAGAAGATATAGAGGCCTCCTCTCTCCCACAGAGGCTCAAACGGTGGTCGGCAAATTATCTAAGTGGTCGACATTCGTCGGTAATGTTCAGAGACAAAACGAGTAAGCAGCGAAAAATAAAACAGGGGGTTCCTCAGGGTGGTGTCCTTTCCCCGCTACTGTTTAACTTTTATATTTCAAAGCTCCCTCAACCACCAGAGGGAGTCTCGATTGTCTCCTATGCCGACGATTGCTCGATTATGGCGACTGGGAATGGAATTGATGACCTGTGTTCGAAAGTAAACGGCTATCTCTCCAAACTTTCTCGCTTCTTCACTGCAAAGTGTCTAGCCCTCTCCCCTACGAAATCCTCCGCGACCCTGTTCACAACCTGGACGAAGGAGGTCAGGCTACCGCTGGGGATTCACGTCGATGACACACCAATTCCGACGGTGAATAACCCCAAAATACTCGGAGTAACTTTCGACAGCCTGCTCTCCTTCTCTGCGCACTCAACCGCTATTGTCAATAAAGTACAGAGCCGCAACAAGGTCCTCAAGTCGCTAGCCGGCAGTACTTGGGGCAAAGACAAAGAAACGTTGCTGGCAACATACAAGGCAATAGGCCGGCCGGTTCTGAACTACGCAGCGCCAGTGTGGTCGCCTGGGACTAGTAGGACGCAGTGGACGAAGCTACAGACCGCACAAAACACCGCACTGAGGACAGCGACGGGATGCCTCCTGATGACGCCTGAACACCACCTGCACGGCGAGGCGCAAATGCTCCCGGTGAAGGAGCACAATATAATGCTCTGCAAGCAGTTCCTGATTGGGACCCACAGAAGTGGCCACCCGTGCAGACAGCTGCTTGCAGAGGAGCCCTCGCCTAGGCACGTCAGGAGGCATCTATATGAACTAACGGACGAAGTCCAGAGGTTCATTAAGCAACCTCTGGACCCGACAGCCTACAGACAGGCCTTGAACGGCATTCACAGGGACTCAGTCTCGAGTTATGTAGACTCTAGACCTGTGAATGCCGTTCTAGGCACACCACCCCCGGACATTGACGAGACGGAGCTTCATCTGCCTCGGGAGACGCGCACCACACTTGCACAACTTCGCTCCGGCTACTGCAGCAGGTTAAACTCCTACCTGAGTAGGCTGAATGAGGATGTGCCTAATGAATGTCCGGCATGCGGAGAGACCCCACATGACTCGAAACATCTCTTCGCATGCCCGGCAAACCCGACATCCCTAACGACCTTGTCCTTATGGGCAAACCCCGCAGAAGCTGCACGCTTCCTAGGGTTGCCGTTAGTGGAACTTGACGACAACGACTGAGATACCAGCCGATCTGGGCGGGGTTGTTGTAGCCGCTACAACAACAACAACAACAACTACAACAATTATAACAACAACAAATAAATTTACGTAACAACGGCAGCGAGCAGATATCAATGGATCTAGCAAGCAACAGTCCATTTTGAAAGATAAGCTACTTAGTTTTTACTATTATTATTAATATAAGTTCTTTAATATTAGATAAAATTCTATAGTTTTCTTATTTGTAAATTACTCATTCCCTTCAAAATGATTCATTCACCTCAGAATATAAACATGCCTATACACACACAAGATTTAGATAGTTCATTGATCGATTTACAAAATGACACATTTCAAGAACAAATTAGAAATCCATATGTAGAGCAACATATTACTGAAGTTTGTGCAACTTCAGTAAAACTTCCACAATTTTGGACTAATTGCCCAGATGCATGGTTTATACATGCAGAAATGCAATTTAGTACAAAAAATATAACACAAGAAAATACTAAGTATGAACATATTATTACGGCCCTTCCACAAGAAGTCATTGTAACGATTTTGGATTTCATTCAAAATCTGCAACAAAATAACAGATTCACTGAGTTAAAGAAAGTCTTAATCGAAAGACATTCTTTAAGTGAGAATTCAAAATTGGATAAAATTTTGTCAGATTCTGAAATTGGGGATCGTAAACCTTCAGAATTTTATCGGTCACTTATGCTATTTTCCGGTTCTCATTTCAGCCAAAATATTCTCAAAAAACTTCGGCTTAGGAAACTTCCCAAAAATTTAAGTGCGATTTTAGCTAGTTCAAACTAAAATGATATAAATGAACTGACTAAATTAGCGGATATCATTTGGGAAGTAATTAACAAAAATTAAATCTCTTCAATTAATAATATTTCAAATTCTAAAGAGCAAAATTTGATTATTGACAATTTAGTAAAAACAACTTCTATCATGTGCGAAAATTCTCAAAAGATTTCTTTGGAATTATCTGAAATTAAACATCATTTGAGTCAAAATCGGAGTAGATCAGGATCATTTCAAAGAAACAGTTTTGGGAATTCATTTAAGCGTACATCAAGATCTTGAGACAATCCAAATTGGATGTGCAAATATCATTATAAATTTGGTGATAAAGCAAAAAAATGTGAACAACCTTGTTCATATTCTAAGAATAAGGATTCAACAAACTAAATTCGTCCGTTGTTACAGCGACAAACAACGGAAATTTAGATATTTCAACGCGTCGCTTATTTGTTTTTGATAAGGAGAATAGACAAAATTTCTTAATTGATAGTGGAGCAGAAATTTCGGTACTTCCGGTATCAAAATTTCCTCATACAAAAAAATCTTCTGACATCATTCTTACTGCAGCTAATGGTTCGACGATTTCGACTTTTGGAAAAAGGCTTTTGAATGTTAATTTAGGTTTAAGACGTGAATTTCCTTTCACATTTTTAATAGCTGACATGGCAAAGCCAATCATTGGTGCTGATTTTCTTTGTAAATATGGTATTCTAATTGATATCAAGCACAAACGTTTAGTTGATCCATTGACTAATCTTTCTGTGGATACGATTTCGAATTTTTGTAATATTTCACTTCCAAAATTATTTATAGTAGATAATCAATATACAAAGTTATTAAAACAATTTTCTTCCCTTATTGAGGAACCAGATTATATGAAGCCAGTTAAACATTCGACGGTACATCGGCTTGTAACAGAAGGAAGTCTTCCATTTTCTAAACCAAGGCGGTTAGACATAATTAAATATAATGTTGCTAAAGCTGAATTCGATTTCTTAGTTAAAACAGGAATTTGCAGACCTTCAAATTCCTCAGTTGCATCTCCTCTCCATTTAGTACCTAAAAAAGAATTAAATGATTGGCGTCCTTGTGGCGATTTTCGAAGATTAAATGTAGTAACTGTTCCGGATCGTTATCCCTTACCGCATATTCATGATTTTAATATGAATCAGAAATAGAAATATATTTTCTAAATTGGATTTAATAAGGGCATATCATCAAATTCCAATGGCGGAAGAGGATATTTATAAAACCGCTATTACGACACCTTTTGGCATGTTTGAATTTACATGAATGCCTTTCGGACTTAGAAATTCAGCGCATACTTTTCAGAGATTTATTAATGAAGTCGTTAGTGGTTTAGATTTTGTTTTTGCTTATATCGACGACTTACTTATTGCAAGTGAAGATGAACAACAGCATTTAAAAGATTTACAAGTGCTTTTTCAACGCCTTACGGAGTACGGTTTAAATATTTATAGCCTTACGTTTTATTAATTAAAACTATATTTTACGCACTTAGCGTACAAATAAACTACAAAATCAGAATTCTTTCTTACAAAGCAACGCGTCCGTTAAAGTATAGAAATCGAATGAATATCTTAAATGAATGAATAAAGACAATTGAATAATGAATAAAGACAAGTGAATAATGAAAAACAATGTTGCCAACTGGCATTAAATTCGAGTGTACGGGCAAATCCCTACACCACTCCCCTTCTAGAGATTTCGTCAAAGAATGGTTATGTATGGTATGTCGCTATTATATTGGAACGCCTCCCAACTCTTCCTTTGGAAAGTATGTAGGTTTAAGCCGGTCGATGGAAACAGTTACTGCTTTCGAGCCGATTAAAATTGTGTAATTCTTAGGATATCTGTTAACGACCAGATACGGCCCATCGTACGGTGCTTTTAATGGTTTACGAATAGTGTCGTCTCGTAAGAATACATGGCTGAAAAAACGAAGATCCTTAGGAACAAACACTGCAGCTTTTCGATGTTGTGATGTTTTCGTTGGTCCTACTTGCTCGAAGTGTTGATGGAGTTTTTGTACAAACGTTGTTTCGTCTACCGTCCCGCTTGCTGTGTCGAAAAAATCGCTTGCGAGCCGAATGGCCTGTCCGTACAGCATTTCCGCTATAGACACACCTAGGTCTTATTTTACCGCCGTTCGTAAACCGAGCAAGACAATGGGTAGGATATCGACCCTGTCTGTGTTAGCCGAGTGACATTTGAGCGCGGCTTTTAAAACCCGGTGCCACCTTTCCACCAACCCATTTGCCTGAGGATGGTAGCTCGTGGTGTGAATGTGTCTGGCTCCAAGCAGCTTCGCCAGTTCCTTAAACAGGCCACTCTCAAATTGCCGACCCTGATCCGTTGTAATAAATTTAGGGGTACCAAACCTGCTAATCCACCCGTTGAGCAGCTCCTTTGCCACGGTTTCAGTTCTCATATCCGCTAGCGGTATGGCTTCAATCCATCTTGAAAATCTGTCGACGCATGTCAAACAGTACATGTAACCGCGTGATGGCGGAAACGGTCCAACGATGTCGATGTTTATGTGTACAAACCGCTTGCTAGGCACGTCGAATGTTTCTAACTCGCTCCTAGTATGGCGTGAGATTTTGCACCGTTGGCAAGCTGGGCAACCACGCACACGTGCCCGCAGGTCCGAGCTCATACCCTTCCAGACGAAACTTTTTGATATGAGCTTACAAGTTGACTTTGCTCCTGGATGCGCTAGGCCGTGCATAGCGTTGAAAACCACTTGACGCAAGGCTTCTGGAATGTACGGTCGAAGCTTTCCGGTGGAGGTGTCACAAACAATCTCGACGCTTGTTCCAGGAAGTGTGTGCTTAACCAAACGTAGGGATGTGTTGTCGTCGTCTAGCAATTTCTTTAATTCGTCGCTATGGCTCTGTTCATCGTGCAGCAGCTGCAGGTCCAATGGCGATGGCATTACGATTGATTCTATCCGCGATAACATGTCGGCGACGAGGTTATCGGCCCCACTGATATGTCTGATGTCCGATGAGAACTGGCTTATGAAATTTAGTTGACGCGTCTGGCGAGGTGACAGCTTCTCCCATTTCTGGTTGAAAGTCTGTGTCAACGGCTTGTGGTCGCTAAAAATTACGAAATTAGTTCCTTCGAGGAAGTAGCGGAAATTACGAATTGCTCTGTATATCGCGAGCAACTCACGATCATATTCGCTGTACCGTCGTTCGGTTGGCGTAAGTTTTTTTGAAAAAAAACCCAATGGCTGCCATTCCCCATTTACTAGCTGTTGAAGTGCTGCGCCCATTGCGGTGTCTGAAGCGTCGCACATAAGCGCAATAGTAGCGCCTTTAGCGGGGTAAGCGATCAGTGTTGTCTCTGCCAACTGTGATTTAAGCGTCTGAAAAGCGTTCGTTGTCTCAACTGTCCAGTTTAACTTGGTCCTATCCCGTTTATTGCAGGGCCCCATCATCTTCTGTAATGGCGCTTCAATGGCTGCAGCATGTGGTAGAAAACGCCTGTAGAAATTAATTGCCCCTAACAAACTGCGGAGCTCGTGGACCTCCTTTGGTAGCTTGCACTCAAGGATGCCTTTAACCTTACGCGGCAGCGGTGTTATACCCTTTTTTGACACAAGATGTCCTAGAAACTCGACGGTTGGCTGCGAAAACTGACACTTTTCGATGTTAATGACAATGCCCCTTTCTCAGTAACGTTGAAGCAACTGTTCCAAGTGTACTTCGTGCTCCTCTTCTGATTTGGAAGCTACTAGTACGTCGTCCAAATAAGGAAAAACAAATGACAGTCCCCTTACCGTTTCATCCATAAATCGCTGAAATGTCTGAGCCGCATTTCTAAGACCGAACGTCATGTACTTGAACTCGAAAAGTCCAAACGGAGTTAATATTGCTGTCTTTGGCACGTCAGACTGGTTGACCGGAATTTGATGGTACGCTTTCTTGCAGCCAATGACGGAGAAAACTGTCTTTCCATGCAAGTCGCATACGAAATCCTGAATATGCCTAATAGGGTAACTATCAGCAACCGTTTTTGCATTAAGCCGTCTATAGTCGCCGCATGGCCTCCATGAGCCATTCGACTTTTGAACCATATGCAATGGGCTGGCCCATTGGCTTTTCGAGCGTTGGCATATCCCACGATCCATGAGATATTCAAACTCCTTTTTTGCTATTTCGAGTTTTTCCGGTGAGAGGCGACGTACTTTCTGCGCCACAGGCGCTCCTCTTGTTTCGATGAAATGTTGTGTCGACGTTTCTTGTTGTGCTAATCTACGAGAATCGTCCGTGAGATCCACGTAACGGGCCAAAAGCTTATGCAAGGTGTCCGCACCTTTGACTGAAAGGGTGTCCTGTGGTAACTTCGTAACTTGGCATACCGTGCGGATGTTTGTCGTTCGGTCTATAACCGATTTGTTCTTCATATCGACTAAAATGTCGAAATTTTGCAAAAAATCTGCGCCAATGATCGGATAAGAAACATCGGCTACCACAAATAACCAGCCGAATTGGCGACGTAAGCCTAGATCTAATGTGAGCCGTTTTTTCCCGTAGGTGTTTATCTGCGTGTTGTTTGCTGCGATTAACTTCATCGGTGCAGGTTGTACGTTGTCGTTCTTATTTTTTGGGATTACCGATATTTCAGCACCCATGTCTATCAAAAATGTTAACGAAAATGTTCTATCTCGTATATACAGGCGGCAAGAATTGCCATCCTCTGCTTTTGTTGCTTGAAACGGAGGACCGACTAGTTTTCCGAATGCGGTCGCACATATGCACAGGGCGGTCGACATTTATTCGCTTGTTCACCAAATGCTTGATGGTACCAACAAATATTAGATTGCGTTGGCCGTGACTGGCTGCTGCGTGCAGCTGGAGTTGATCGCGAGGGTGGAGCCTTTTGACGCCCACCATAACCGATATGATCAACATTACGTTGATTCTCACTTTCAATGCGGTCAAGTCTGCTCACGAGGTCTGCTAAAGTGGCCCGCGTGTCCTCTGTATCGATTGTGCTTAATTTGTCCCCCGGTGAAATATCCAAAATGTCGTCAGCTTTTTGGGCAAAAATTTCGACGTCGTCCTTTAGCGTGGCTAAAATTTGTTGTACGTGTACCGGTAAGCGACGCATCCACAAAGATTTAAGAATCTGTTTATCGAGGCGGTGGTTGGCCAACTCTTTCATTTCACGTAGTAGAGTTGTAGGCTTCCTGTCATTTAGCTCACACGTCTCGAATAATCGTTTGAGACGCCTTTCTGTCGACTCCCCGAACTCGTCAATTAACCTCTCCTTTAATGTATTGTATTTGTTCGTAGCCGGCGGCGCCGAAATTATGTCACTGGCATGTGCGAGAATTGCTGAATCGACTTCCGCAACGATTGCATAAAATTTTGTTTCGTCAGTGGAGATTCCAGAGCGCACGAATTGCGCCTCCACCTGTGCAAACCAGAGGCGAGGGTCGGGCTTCCAAAATGGTGGTGGCTTGACGGCGAGTCGGGCCACTTGAACTGTAGTTACTGCATCCTCAAAATTATCCTCTGGCATTTTGCGTTTTCGGCGGGGTCACCAGTTATAGCTTTACATTTTATTAATTAAAACTATATTTTACGCACTTAGCGTACAAATAAACTACAAAATCAGAATTCTTTCTTACAAAGCAACGCGTCCGTTAAAGTATAGAAATCGAATGAATATCTTAAATGAATGAATAAAGACAAGTGAATAATGAATAAAGACAAGTGAATAATGAAAAACAATGTTGCCCACTGGCATTAAATTCGAGTGTACGTTCAAATCCCTACATATTAAACCAAGCAAATGTACTTTTGGTGTTTCAAATATTGATTTTTTTGGACATAATATATCTGGAGCTGGGATTCGGTCTTCTGAAAACAAGGTAGCAGCTATTCGCAATTTTGAGCGTCCAAATTTTATTAAACAATTACAGAAATTTTTAGGTATGGTTAATTATTATCATAGGTATATACCGAAATTGGCAGAGTTCACGAATAAACTTTATGATTTAATTAATAGAACAAACAAGAGACGAGAAAAATCTTTAATTTGGTATGATAATTCAATCCAAGCCTTTGAATCCATTAAGGATAAGTTTGCGTCTGAGATATTGTTAAATCATTTTAACAAAGACGCTAAGTTATCTTTAACTGTTGATGCTTCTAATGCGGAAATTGGAGGTTTCATTCAGCAACATTTCAATAATAACATTGAGCCAATTGCATTTTTCTCCAAAAAATTGTCTCTGTCTGAGACTAAGTACAGTGCATTCGATAGAGAACTTTTGGCGATTTATCTAAATATCAAACATTTTCGTTACCTATTGGAAGGACGACAATTTACTGTTTTCACGGATCATAAACCTTTAATCAATGTCTTAAATTCAAAAACAGAACGTAGTCCAAGACAAACGAGACATTTGGAATACATCGCACAGTTCACTAATGATATACAATATATTAAAGGAGAGTCAAATATCATAGCTGATACACTATCTCGAGCTTTTGAAGTTAATGTAATTGGAAATACGGAGCTAAACTTTAAAGATTTTACAAAATGAACAGCAAAAAGATGATAAGCTTAATGTTTTAAAAATTGGATCTAAATGTTTAAATTTAAAGTTAATTCAAATTCCTTTATTAAATTTCAATATTTGGTGCGAGATAACAGGGGAAAATCCGAGGCCATATATACCAACTAATTTACGTAAGAAGGTTTTTAATATACTTCATGGTATTTCACATTCTGGTACAAAAGCTACTAGGCGACTTATTGTTAAAAGATATTATTGGCCGAAAATGACTAAGGAAATCAATATATGGTCAAAAGAGTGTGTTAGTTGCCAAAAATCGAAAGTCCATCGTAACACGAAATCTCCTGTTAGCAAAATTCCAATTCCTAAAAATAGATTTGAACACATTCATATAGATATTGTTGGTCCTTTGCCTGTTTCATAAGGTCATCGTTATATTTTGACAATAATTGATAGGTTTACTCGCTGGCCAGAGGCATATGCATTAAAAGATATTTCGGCTACAACGATTGCAAATACATTTTTTACTGGATATGTTTCACGATTTGAAGTTCCATTAAAAATTACGACTGATCAAGGAAGTCAATTTACATCCAAATTATTTTCAGAGCTAATTAAATTACTAGGAAGTCATCATATTACAACATCTGCATACCATCCGCAAGGCAATGGTATGGTTGAGAGATTTCATAGGCAATTAAAAGCTGTTATTATGGCTAGAGATGGAGCTGGAAGGTGGTATGAAGAACTACCAATAATACTTTTGGGATTACGATCTGTTTATAAAGAAGATATTTCAGCTACACCAGCTGAAATGGTTTTCGGGCAAAATTTACGTTTGCCTGGTGAACTTGTTGTTCCATCAGCGGATAACTTTTCTTCAACTGAGATTTTAGATTGTTTGCGCAAACATTTTCAAAATGTTAATTCAAATTTAAATCATCATCAAAATTCTAGCACTTGTTTTTATATTCCAAAGGATCTTCAAACCTGCACATTTGTTTTCGTTCGTTCTATAAATAAATGTTCATTACAACAACCGTACGAAGGACCCTACAAAGGTATCGAAAAAGATAAGAAATATTTTAGGGTAGAAATTAATGGTGACGTTAAAACAATTCCAATTAATAGATTAAAACCAGCTATAATTGAAACAACGCAGCATACTAACACGAACAGTCGTATTAACGATGCAAAATTAAAAAAGAAAGTTACATTTAATTTATTCGACATCAAAACTCTTGAAGGGGGAGTAATGTAGGATTAAGATATGTTATATATGCATATACTTATTAAATTTACTTGTTTTGTGAATACCTTTAATTTTAAATTTATTTTATTTTGTTGTTAATAATTTGTAATGGAAATAATGTTGTTGGCCTGTCGGTAGGTTGACGGGTCCAGAGGTTGTTTGATGAACCTCTGGACTTCGTCCGTCAGTTCGTAAAGATGCCTCCTGACGTGCCTTGGCGAGCGCTCTTCCACGAGCAGCTGTCCGCTGGGATGGCCACGTCTGTGGCTCCCAGCAAGGAACTGCTTGCAGAGCATTATGTTATGCTCCTTTACAAGGAGCATCTGGGCCTCGTCATGTAGGTGGTGTTCTGGTCTGTAGCTTCATCCACTGCGTCCTGCCAGTCCACGGCGACCATACGGGCGCTGCATAGTTCAGAACCGGACGGCCAATTGACTTGTATGTTGCCAACAACGTTTCTTTATCTTTGCCCCAAGTGCTGCCGTCCAGCGACTTGAGGACTTTGTTGCGGCTCTGTAGTTTGTTGACAGTTGCTGTTGTATGCGCCGAGAAGGAGAGCAGACTGTCGAAGGTAACTCCGAGGATTTTCGGGTTATTCACCGTCGGTATTGTTACGCCATCGACGTGAATACCCATTTGCAGCTTGACCTCC